AGAAAATTTTACTACACAAAAATTTTTTTGGGTGGTGTTTGGGAATGAATTCGGCAAGTAGAAAACCACGTTGTCCAAAATAAATCGAGTAAGTGTCTTTCACTTGTTTATTGATTCACATTCTTGAATATTCTATGATCACCAGATACTTCNACCCGTTTGAAAATTTTAATTTAATTTAGTTTATAAGACAAATTGAATACTGCAATATGGCTATCAAACTGAACAGGTTTAGAAAATTTTACTACACAAAAATTTTTTTGGGTGGTGTTTGGGAATGAATTCGGCAAGTAGAAAACCACGTTGTCCAAAATAAATCGAGTAAGTGTCTTTCACTTGTTTATTGATTCACATTCTTGAATATTCTAAGATCACCAGATACTTCTTATATACATACAGAAGTATATGAGCAAAATACATACATATGTGTTCTACTCCTAAGTACATCAGCTATAAAAACATCTAACGCTAGAGCGAGAACAATAATAATACGCATAATATGGATGTTAAGCGATGACATTGCAAAAATGAACTAATGTTGGTTGTATTGGTGCATTCAGCGGGTGTTGATGAGCAGAGCTGAATGTAGGTATGTTCCTGTACTAACGATGCCCAACGTTGCCTTTAGCCAATACCTTACTGTAACTCTTGAACATCCTGCCCGGCTGAACCCGTGCGGTTCAGTAATTCTTCAGGTGGGCCTGTTAATCGGCATAATTTCTGTACCGGCCGCTGACATCGGTGTTTGATAAAAAGTCCGTTCGAGGTTTTCTGGTTAGAATTGTATTCGATGGTGACCACGCGAACCAAACCATCACTGCCCGGATGCACGTCAATGACCCTTCCTATGCGCCAAAATGTTGGGGGGAGATTCTCATCCCGGATGAGAACGAAGTCGTAGCGCTGAATGTTTGGCTCCGGTCTAGTCCATTTACTGCGAGACTGAAGGGTATTTATGTATTCGCTTTGCCAGCGACGCCAAAAGTGCTCCACCATTCGTTGAAGACGTTGCCAGTAATGCAACTGATTTTCTGGAACTTCTGGTAATGGAGGTTCTGAACGACAATTCAACGGGCGGCCAATAATGAAATCACCCGGAGTGAGGGCTACACCACCTTCCGGGTCATCGTATAAATCCAGCAATGGCCGGGAGTTGAAGCAGGCTTCTATACGCGTCAAAAGAGTGTAAAGCTCGGGGAAGCGCATTGTTTGACGACCCATGACTCGCAATAGATGCTTTTTGGCAGAACGCACCGCTGCTTCCCAAAGGCCACCGTGATGAGGTGACGATGGTGGAATAAACTTCCAGTGGGTTCCTACAGCCACCAGGTGTTGTTGTGCAAACACGTTCACCCATGCCTGTAAATCCTCCTGCATTTGTCGATTCGCACCAATAAACTGAGTACCATTATCGCTGTATAAGGTAGCGCAGATGCCTCGTCGACTCACGAAGCGGTCGTACACGTTTATAAATGCTTGTGTACTCAAGTCTTCTGCCAGCTCAATATGAACTGCACGCGATGCCATACAAACGAAAATGGCTGCATTGGTTTTTGTTGTAACTGCTGAGCGCTTGCTGCCAACTCGAACATGGAAGGGGCCACAGTAATCCAAGCCACTGCGGTAAAATGGTGGTGCAACAAGGACACGTTCCTTTGGTAACGACGCCATCTGTTGACGCTGCATAATTTGCAGATGTCTTCGACATACGGTGCACCTCCAGATGTAAGATTTTACCTGGGCCCGCGCACATATGAGCCAAAAACGTTGTCGGAGAAACTGGAGCATCTGCTGTATGCCATCATGAAGGCAGCGCTTATGTGCATCTGCGACCATCAAATCTGCTATAGTGCCGCGTGGGACTATGATTTGGTGTCGCTGATCCTTACTCATGTCAGCGTTGGTTAGTCGGCCCCCAACTCTCAATATTCCATTTTCATCCAGAAACGGGTTTAGGGGTAGAAGTGGACCGCGACCCTCAATTCTGGAATTAGAGACAAGTGCTTTAATTTCCTGTTTGAAAGTGTTACATTGTGGATGACGAATGTGTAAGACCAGCGCCCAGTTCTGCTCTTCGGCGGAGACCACAACCCCTCTGTTGCCTCGAAATAACGGTAGTATGTGTCTAAGACACGCCGTGGTGTGGAGAAGACGTCCCAACGTGCTAAACCTCTCTATGAGAGGTACCCGATTACCGTCACCTGATGTCATGAGCCACTGGCAGTCAACACGAGATACTAGCTAGTATACACAGGGCGAGATGCGGATCTAAAAATGTGCTGATCTTCCTCCGTCATCGTAACTGGTTCCGATCCTACGGTTGTGTGTTGATGGATGCATGCCGGTCCGGCCCACCAAAGTCGATGACTTTCCAGACCAGATGGCGACAAGCCTCTGCTTGCGCAATCCGCCGGATTAAGCTCCGATCGGATGTGGTTCCAGGAATTTACATCCGAATTGGCCTGGATGAAAGCGACTCGATTCGAAACGTACTGTTTGAAAGCTGAAGGTGCCTTGCGGATCCAGCATAATACAACATTTGAATCGCACCAATATATGCAAGGGACATCTGGTAGGTCAAGAGCCTTGCGGACGTGGTTCATAGTGATTGTAAGTAGGTGGGCACCACATAGCTCAAGGCGTGGTATGGTCACTTCCTTGACCGGAGCGACCTTCGTCTTTGCAGCAACCAGAACTGCACCTGAATTACCATTGTGATCCACCGTCTGGACATACACCGCAGCTGCATATGCCTTACGACTAGCATCACAGAAACCATGGAGCCTCACCATCGAATCGGCACGCATGCCTAGCCAACGTGGAACACGAAGTCGTGAAATGTCCGCTAACCCGTTGCGGAATATTAACCAAGCATTGAGCAGGTCCGGTGGCAGTGCCGAGTCCCACTGCAATCCCGCCTTCCACAGATCCTGGATAAAGAGTTTTGCCACAATGACAACTGGTGCCAATAAGCCAGTCGGATCATACAATGTAGCTACGTCGCTAAGCACTGTCCGTTTGGTAGGCATCGCTGACTCGTCGAACCCCCGTATCGTGAAGAAGAGCTCGTCATGCAACGGATCCCAATGCAAACCTAGTACCTTCGTCGCTGAATAGTTCAACTCCAGCTCGGATGCAGACATTGTCGAACCAGTGATGGTAGCAAGCGTGTGTGAGCAGTTGGAGTTCCATTTCCCCAACACAAATTGACCTTGCTTCAAGATGGTCTCCACACCTTGTGCCCGCGTGATTGCTAGTTCGGACGTATCGACACTGTCCAGATAGTCGTCCACGTAAAAATTATAAAGGATGCTATGTTGCGCTGCGGCAGCTCGGCTGGGTTCACTGATGGCCTTACAATTATCCTGCGCACATTGATGCAGCGCTCGTACCGCATTGAATGGACTACAAGCCATTCCATACGTCACCGTTGTCAATTCGTATATTTGTAGAGGAACGTCTGAAGCCTCACGCCAAAGAATTTTTTGCCGTTTTCTATGACGTTGGTCGACCAAGACTTGACGGAACATCTTCGTGATGGCTACGATGAATTTGCGAAAACGGTGAAGAATGTCGACCAAGTTTAGGTGTAGCTGTGGGCTCGAGAATTGCACGTCGTTCAGTGATACGCCATTCGATGTCTTTGCAGAGGCATTAAACACAAACCGAAATTTGGCAGTAACAGCATGATGGGGAATAAAGTAACCAGGATGAGCGTCCATAATTAACTCCTGGCTTACCTCCATATGGCCAAGAGCTATGTACTCCCTCATGAAAGCCGTATATTGCTCGCGTAGATCAGCGTCGTTCGCTTATCTCCGTTCCAGTTGTAGAAACTGACGTATTGCAGATTGGTATGAATCGCCAATGGAGGGTGCATCTGGTTTAAATATGATCTGCACCTGATAACGGCCATCCGTTGCGCGTGTAAAGGTGTTGGTGAATACCCTTTCACAATCATCTTCCCGAGTTTCTGATACCACAGCTGGCTCTTCGAGTTCCCAGAAGCTTCGAAGTAGTTTGTGGAGTCGTTGTTCTTTGACGCGTTTGACAGCATGCGATGTTAGCTGTGCGGATTGTGTTGAGCTACCATGAGCTGGCCCAAACACTACCCAACCAAGCCGTGTGTTCAAGGCGCAAGGCTGTTCTGCAGATCCCCGAATTAAGCCTTCCAGCAAGAGATCCTTAAGCACCTCAGCACCGAGAAGCAAATCCACCGGACCCGGGCAACCAAACGTTGGGTCCGCCAGCGGCAAATCCTTCAAATGAGTCCAGGCTGCCGGATCGATCGTTGCGCTTAGTGTAGTTGAGGTTATCATCGACACAACATACGCCTCCAGTCTGAACTCGGTGTTGCTGTCAATTGTAGGTTGCATCTTAACAGTCACATTGCCTCTGGTATAGACCGCGGTGCTCGAACCGATGCCTTCGATTCGGACCTCATCTGGTTTTCTACGGAGACCCATACGTTTAGTTAAAGAATCAGTGATTAAGCTCACCTGGGAACCCATATCGCAGAGGGCACGACAAGTGTGTTGTTGTCCATTATGATCCACAAGACGAACCTTTGCTGTGGCTAGTAAAACGGTCCGGTCACCGTGGACTAGATAAGACCGAACCGTCTCTGACTGTCATTGTTGTCGTGAGTATACTTGCGGCGTATGCTCTACAGATATACCTGGCTTAGAGTTACGAGTCGGCACTGCTGATGTGTTCGTTACTTCGGCTGCTGGTGCACTGACTGCATCTTCTTCTCTGCAGAGAGGTGTGTGGTGCCGGTGATGGCAGCGTATACAATCCCGCGACGGGTAATCTCGCGCCCCATGGTCGACGCTGAGGCAATTGACACACTGTGAGAGCCGCTTCACGGTGTCCCAGCGCTCTGTTACCGGAAGGTTGAGGAACCGCTGACATTTGTGAAGGCGATGTGAACTTGCGCACAATATTGGCCGCCTTCCTTGAACGGGAAGCTTGAGATGAATTAACGGCTGCTACATGAGTCATTGCCATTGAGTTACTGGAAGATCCATTACAGCTAGCGCTCGCATAGCATTTTGTACGGTGTCGACAACTCGAAGAAGGGTCTTCTGCGATTCCGCTGGGTGATTCGGCAAATCCAGGAGGCGGTTAACCTGCGACTCAACTAACAAACGCTTATTGTCATACCTACGTTTCATTTCCTTCCACATGTCCTCGTAGCCACCGGTGTATAGGCCCCCAACCAATGGCACGTTATCTACATTGACATGTTGACGCAATTTACTCAGCTTGTAGCTGGAATCTAAGTCAGTGCGGTTGTGGACCAGTGATTCAAACAGGTCTTTGAAAGACAACCAATTCCCCGGATCACCATCAAAGACTGGAATTTTAATTGGATCTAACCGCATGTCCTGTTGATTGGTCACAGGAGGCTTGGGCTCTGAATTGCCTTTACCGCCCATTCTCCTACGCAGTCGAACACAAATATTAGTATATAGCATTTCAGTAGCAGCGAAAAATTCGTCGTGGGCTTCCAATTCGCTGGCCTGTGCAAGAGATACTAGATCCGCGTGATACTCTGCAAACCTTTCAAATTGTTTTTTCACTTGCGCCAGCATAACCTCGCACTCTATGTGATCTGGATCAAAGTAGCCCGCCTCGATAATTTTTCCAAGACGAACAATTGATGATTGTGTNTTTCACTTGCGCCAGCATAACCTCGCACTCTATGTGATCTGGATCAAAGTTGCCCGCCTCGATAATTTTTCCAAGACGAACAATTGATGATTGTGCAGATGCACGCAGATTTAAACTCGCCATATCGCAGTATAATTGCGATGTCCTCACAGGGAATGAATTCGGCAAGTAGAAAACCACGTTGTCCAAAATAAATCGAGTAAGTGTCTTTCACTTTTTTATTGATTCACGTTCTTGAATATTCTACCCTAAGATCACCAGATACTTCTTATATATGAGCAAAATACATACATATGTGTTCTACTCCTAAGTACATCAGCTATAAAGCTGAATGTGGGTATGTTCCTGTACTAACGATGCCCAACGTTGCTTTTGGCCAATACCTTACTGTAACTCTTGAACAGGAGGGTTGAAATCTATATCTATACTTATAATAAAATTGTAACAGGCGGATGTCGGTACCATTAGATATTAAAGAAAAATTAATATGGGGGGATTTTATTAGAGTTATAGAAGCCAAATTAACAGTTTTTAGAATTTTTGACTCTCTGTATATTTGTATGCGTATTACTCGAAAACTAATGCATGGAATTGAATGCAGTTTTCACCGATGTATCGCTAGAGAACTAGCTTCCAATGTAGAGGGAAAATATTAGAGAGTTGCCACCTGTGTTTAGAATTTCAGTTTAGGTCAATTGATACGGTAAAATAAATATTGCAATATGGCTGCCAAAAGAAAGAGGTTTACAAAGGCTTACAGCTGAAAATATTTTTGTGGAAGGTTACCTATTTGAAAACCTTAATTTAATTTAATTGATAACAAAAATTAAATATTGCAATATTGTCATCAAACTAAAAAGGGTAGGAAATTTTAATGTCGAAAATATTTTCAGGGGATTGGCCAACTGCTTGAAAAATTGTATTCATTTAAATTTGTAAAATAAATGAAATATTACAATACGGACATTAACCTAAAAACTAAAGCGGATTAGGAAGCTTACTTTTGAAAGTATTTTTGAAGCGGGTCGCCTACTATTTGGAAACTTTAACCCAGTTAAATTTATAAGATAAGCTGGCAACATTCGCCAGGTGAATATCAAACGAAAGTATTTGAGAATAATAAAATTGCAACAGGCCGATATCTGTACATAGTAGATGTTAAAGAAAGATTAATAGGGATCAACAGAAGCCAAATCTAAAATTATTATAATTTTGGTCTGTCTATCTGTATGTTTGTAAGCGCATCTCGCAAAAACTAATGTATGCAATTAAATGCAGTTTTCACCGATGTACATATTGCTAGAGCTCTAATTGCAAATATAGAATCCATTTTTTTTGTTTTAGTTTATCATCGATCCTTATTACTAGGTACTTGAATGTATTAACTTTTTCCAGTGCGTCGTTGTTTATATTTAGAGTTAACAATGGACTGTTCTCAAAGTTCCGCCTTGATATAACCACAAACTTAATTTTATTGACCAATCGCACTTTTTTGGAACTTCTGTGTGGTTTTTGCCTAAAAAAATTAAAAACTTTTTTTTGCTGCTGACAAAAAATTAGGAAATCTGAGACGTCGCGCTTTACCTTTTCTCTGTACAAAGTATTTCACTAAATCACTAAACGGCTGCACCGATTTGGTTAATATTTGGATCATATGCCAGCACCTTGAAAGTAAATATTCCGACCAAAAATTTACTCGGTATGTAGTTGGGGATATTCCTAAAATTCTTATACAAACTAAAATGTAAAAACCCAATACATACATCTCTAAAACCAATTACGCTGGGGAACTGAAACTTAGCACTGATGCATATATTGCAAATGCATTGGAAAAGGGGGCGTGTTATCTTCTATACAAACTGAACTACTCATATAGCTTATCTCTGGAATCGCTTACGCTAACGTCCTGAAATTCGAAACAGCTACATATGTTATCAATACCGTACTTATGGCGAAAAGTGGTTTTAAGTGTTTTTAGTATTCCGTAAAAGGTAAAATTTGTGTAAAAATGTTGAAGAATCTTTTAAAATTTTCACAAAGAATGGAGCTTTGGTTTTTCGAGTTTCGCTGTAGACTGTCCTATCTACATACCTATTTGCCTAAAAAGATAGCCCTTTTCGTTGTTCTGACTAAACTAAAAAACCACTGAATAGAGTTCCGTCAGATTTTAGGAGGTTATCTTACATTCATATATGGTCCTATAACATGCCACTAGAAAACTCGCTAGGTGGAGCTCGAGTAGAGCTATTTATAAAAGTCGTATTTATTAACCGATTTCGTTCAAATTTTAAACGTGAGCTATGTACCTGTATGACAGAAAATTCTTTTGATAAAAATAGACCCGATGAGTACCTCAGGTTAAAATTCGTAACACGTATTTATTTTATGGAAAGCAATGGTTTTGCAGAAAATGGACCCAATGGATGGCGCTGCAGCCGAAATGTATAGAAACCCCGTGTGGTTGGGTTGCTTTGGCCCTATGTTTACGTTATACGAATTTAGTTTTCAGATGTCTAAATGAAGGATGGGGTTAAATTTGTCTGACGCCCTCATGCACGATCATGCGATCTGGCATATACCCTGTAGGGAAAACACGAACTAGTGAACCAGATTTCTAGTTCAGTACTAGTTCTTTATTGCCAAAAACGAACCAGTCCGATAGTAACTAGTTCCGCACCAGTCCAAAAGCAGTGAAATGTGGTACTTTCACTAAACTATTCTATTTTAAATTTTAAAAGCAGGGAAGGAAATCATTATGAGTAAAATAATTTAAATCAGCATTTAATCATTATTTTATGAATTATTATTGAGTTTTATTTTTTCGCTCAAACAGAAATAATTATTATTTGATTTTTATTTTTGGGATTACAAATAATAATTATTTTATGATTTTTATTTTTTCGGGCAGAGATTATCATTAATTTTCCGTTTTATTTTTCCACTTAAGAATAATGATATTTACAAAATTTAAAAGGCCATAAGGACGCAGCGTACTGAAATTTTTACCTGAAAAGTTTGGGTCTTATTCCTTTTATAAGGGTGCGGCTACCTCTCAAAGGGATACGTCGATTATCACGCTGGTATAGTTTCTGAGTTGTTTAATAATCATAATACTTAGTGATTCCATAAACAAAGGTCAAGATCCTGAAGGACAATTGAGAAAGGCAATGCAGTTGCAGAAAAAGAGGCATTTAAAAAAAGTGTCAAAATAATTACCACTTTCTCACTAAATTTATTTAAAA